TAAAAAATCAATTGAAATATAAATAAATATGATCATCCACTTTTACAAAGGCTAAAACAGAGCTCTAGCCTGACTCGCTCAACATTAAAGTTGCAATACAAAGAGTCTGGGTCCCATCTGCTCCAAGTAGGTGGCCCTCAAGAGTCATTAAAATTATCTTTTTAGCATTATAGCTCAGCAAGAGCAATCCGTTTTGTGCATCCAGAAATTATAGTCCAAATGCCCATCTGCATGTCCTTTTAAGAAACATAGTTCAACAGAGGAAGTGCTGGTTCCTTGGGGAAATCATTCTCATCTTCAGCGTACATATGCTATGCTACAGTTAATCAGGCAAACTCTATTGATGTTCCCGGCACTGGGGCGTGATTGAATATTTAAAAAACAAATGCCTCTGAGCCCAGAAGACAAATGGTTCAGGAGATTTGGGACTTTTAAAAAAATATATTAAGTTAAATCAAAAGCATTTTGTATTTGTTCTTCTGAGAAACAGATGAACAGACGATCGGAACATGAAAATGGCATGACAATTTCTTTACCCACTCTGACAAATTATATTCAATTTCTGTACAGGTTTTCAGTAGCTAAATAATAAACCAAAGGGGAAAACGTGGTTGTTTTTCAATCAGGTCATAGTAAGTTAAGTTTTAATGCATATAACAAATGCATATGTTATATAAGAAAAGATTAAGCTAAGAGCACGTCGAGCCCAAAGGTGTTACATATGTGAAATCAATCAACATCATCTATACGTATGTCATCTATTTTAGTAAGTCAAAAGTGTTGCTAAAGAAAGGAATAGAGTTTTGCCAGTGTACCACCACTCCTATAAAATACAATACTAGGTTTTAGTCTCTATTTATTTCCTCTCAAAAAGAGAAGCCGATCCAACTGAAGTCAAAATATTGGTCTCGTATATCTCTTGCCTTTCTCATTTATCCTAATTCCACTTTCAGAATCTGTGATAAACTAGAATTAGTTCTGGGGCAGCCAAAGTAAGCAAGCCTTTTATAATCTGTCCAGATTCTCCAGTTATTTATCTTTTCCATATATTTAAAGTAGCATAGCAAACATATTATCGTAGAAATGCGATACAATCAAGAGAATGCTCACCAGGAAACAGCTAAATCCGTCCTCCTCAGCCCATCTCCAAACCAGGGTATATCTTAGGAAAAATGTGAGATGAATATCCATATACATCTCATGAATATTTCTTTGTGTATAATCACTGTTCATGCCAAGCAAAAAGAAATAATTTTACACCTAAGTAAACTAGAAGGAAGAAAAGGCTATACTCTGACCCACCCAGAGGTGCAAAAAATAGACTTCTTATAAAATAATGTGATTTTTAAGGTGTTTATAAAGTGATGTAGCCAACATCTGGCTTTATAGGCATCCCTCTAATAGTACATCTGAAACTTTTGAAATGATATTTGCTACCTTCTCCCTTATGAAATTGTTACTTTTGTAGGTATCTATCTCTCTGCTTTATGCCTTTTTTGCCTTTAAGACTTTGTGCCTCTCCAGGGCAATGCCCATGTTCTTCTTATCTGTGTACCTTCTGTAGTGCCTAGATAATGTCTTACACCTAGCAGGAGCTTAGTAAATATTTACTGAACTCATTTTTATTGCAAAAGCTCCCAATTTCTGCCTATGTCATATACAAAATGGAATCCCAGAGAGATCCAAAGATTCTGGCCCAAATATGCATAATTATACCTTTTCTGCTTAACCAATCTATTTTTAGGGCATATCTGTTTTAAATACATAGCACATGTTTATTTTTTATTATGAAAATATGATGGAAATGAATGAATAGAGGGTCTTTTGGTCACAGAAAACCCACTGCCCATTGTATATAACCAGTATAGAAAATTAGAGTTTTTTTGAAAGCTGGAGAAGAGATAACACTATCTAGCAACCAGACTGAATTAACAAGAAATCTATCCTATTTCCACAAGTACTTTCTCAGAACTGGGGTTTGGGGGATGTTTGCTATATTTCCTGTTTACTTTCTCTTGACAAGTCTACACTTTCATTCTCGTTTCGTCTCTGTGAAACAAAAATTGCAAGAACCACCACTCCATTCCTTAGTAATTTAGGACAGTAGGCCTTTTTCAGGTCTCTGTTCTTCTTTCCAGTTTTCTGCCTGAAGACAGGGTTCTTCAACCATGTGAAAAGCCTACGGGTTCTCAGAATGGCGGTGAAGGATGAGCTCATTTAGTAAGTGGTATACGGCAGAGAGAGTTGCCCAGTGCCTGCAGTTGAGGCCAATGCAGTACTGTTTCAAGGGCGGAAATATCCCAACCCTCTTATTTTTTCACTTGAGACATAAAGTAAGACACGGCTCAACATCCAATCACCATCTTTTCTTTATCTGGGGTTCTGGAAAATAGATTTCCCCATCATTTATAAAGAAATATATGTATGAGAAGATCAAGCCAGCATAGACAAAGCAAGTTTAGGCCCAGGATGAATAACAAGGAGAAGATGCTTAGACACTCCGCAGTTCTCATCCGCAATTACAGATAGGCAAGCTGTTTCTTCGGAGACGTTCTAAGACCGGGGAGTTCTAAGACCTTTCTTGAGAATACAGTTACCCGCTAATCCCAGCTACTTTCCACAAGAAGGGAAAATTGTTTTATGATAGGATTAGGGATTGCAGACTCCATTTTAGAGATTTCCAGAGTCACTAAGTATAGCATACCCTGCCTTCTACAGAGCTCTCATATCAGCCCAGGCTCTCCATCACCACTACCATTGCCTCAACACAGCCATGCCAGCACCTCTAATCCTGATCGTTCAACAGTCTCCTAATTGGCCTCCCTCTCTATTATCTCCACAGACGCTGCAGACACCACACAAACTCACACCCATGCCTTCTATCATGTGCCGTCACGGATTCCCCTGAATCACATCATGCAAGGACCCCCTCAAAGACCCTGAATGGCAGAGATTAAGTTCTGGGCTACCATTATATCCCCAGCATCTACAGTGCCTATGGCAATGGCCCTAGATATGATAAGGAAGAAAGGAAGAGAGGCAGAACTATGACAGACACACAGACAGATAGATTCCTTCTCATTAAAAGGCATGATAAACCCTCTTCTGGGGATGCCTGGGTGGCTCAGTACATTAAGTGTCTGCCTTTGGCTCAGGTCAGGATCTTAGGGTCTTGGGATCAAGCCTGGAGTCACATCAGACTCCCTGCAGCAGGGAGTCTGCTGCTGCCTCTGCCCTGCCCCCCAGCTTGTGCTCTCTCTCACATGTGCTCTCTCTCAAATAAATAAATAAAATCTTAAAAAAAAAAAAAAGAAAAATCCTCTTCTGACCTGTGCGCAACCTAGAGCAGGCTTTCTCACCTTTACACATGCTTCATTTCTACTGAAGGGGAAATCTCACCTCAGATAGTAATCTCTATGTCGGCCGTGATGATGACCAAACATTCAGGAAGAAACTCAACAGTTCAATCAGCCACTCAAATATTTTGTTTAAAAATACCAAATTTTGAGGGGATGCCTGGGTGACTCAGTTCGTTAGGTGTCCGACTCTTGATTTCAGCTCAGGTCATGACATTGAGGTCTTGAAATTGAGCCCCCTGTCAGGCTCCATGCTGAGCGTGGAGCCTGCTTCTGTCTTTTCCTCTCCCTCTCTGCCCCCTCTCAATTGTTCTAAAAAAAAATTTTTTTAAATAAAAAACCAAATTTGGAGAATAACTAGATATTTAGTTCTGTGTGGCTACAAATGGAAGGGTAGGGAATAGCTTACTGAAACTGAATGTAAGATATCCATTCTCAGACAGCAAATAATGTCTTAAAAATATAATCTGCTTTTTGGAGTGCCTGGGTGACTTAGTTGGTTAAGCAACTGACTCTTGATTTTGGCTCAGGTCGTGATCGTCGGGTCATGAGATCGAGCTCTGCATTGGGCTCCACGCTCAGTGGGGAGTCTTCTTGTCCCTCTCCCTCCCCCACTGTCCCTCCCTTGGCTTGCGTATGTGCTCTCTCTCTCTCTGTCTCTCTCATTCTTGCTCTCAAATAAATAAAATCTTTAAATTTATATATAGATATATATACTCTGCTTCATTGATTTTTTCTGTCCTAAATTTATCATTTTAATATCCACTTATTTATTACATATTTAAATAAATAAGACAAATCGGAAAAATCTACTATGGCAAGTATAAGCAATGATCACATTAGTTCTTTAAATTTCTTATTTTATAGCAGAAAAATCCACTAACTGAAAAAGCACTGTATTTCTCATTTTCATTATTTACTTTCACAGCCATTGATTTTATGTTTGTAGTTCCTCCTTTCTCAGATTTAAAAATTAAAATTTTTCTTTCCTAGGGATAATCTCAGAAATATGTACTTATAAAATTCATGTAGCTTTCTAAATAATTCTATTTCATGATGCTCATGTCTTATGGAAAAAAATACTTTCTATAATTGAAATTTTCATGTAAGAAAAATATTTCACAAAACAGGTCTATTATCTATTGCTCTTGAACAATAAAACTTCCCTACAATAATTTAAGACAAATATACTTGGATAGGCCAACTTATTTTTAGAATAGCATTTCCCTGCTTAAATAAGCTAAATACCGTAAGTTCTAGCTATTTCTCTTCTCATGGAGTTAGCTCATTAGGAAGTCAAAGTGTACAATTCTTACATAACTTCCGGTGGATCCTCTTCTTTCGCATGCTTTTTTGAAATGACTATATTTTTAGTGACTACTTCCTGAATGGCTCTCTTGTAACTCGGTGGTTAAAAAAAAAATATGCCTTACCAAGACCAGATACCACATAGCAAGGCATCTTTGCAAGCAATTTATACCTATTGCACTGCTGTTTTTACTCATATTTTTATTGCAGAATAAAATAGTATATATATATTTTTTTGCTTTTATTCAGAGAATAAATGAACTTTTTAAGAACTGTTCTCAGTAGCTTATTCACAGATTTTGGCTCAACGTGGTTTCACTTTGTTCCCCTATGTAGGGTAACGACAGTATCCAGGGTCCCCCGAGCCCAACAACTAGTCCTTCAGGGTTAACTCAGCTAACATTAGAGAACACGTTGGGGAAGGCTGCAAGGCGGACAGATAAAGGACCTCTAAAAAGTGCCTACGCAGAAGCAGGAGCATCAGAAAGCCAGAATTCCTTGGCAAAGCAGATAGATAGAAAAGACTTTCAAATGACTGTGGTGCCTACACCATGCCTTTCTCCCCCGGGAAGAAGTGAAGCCTCTCAGAAAACTCCAGATCCCGTTTTCAAAGCAAAAGACCAACCAGCCCATCAAGTACCAGCTTCAATAAACAAAACCTCCCTAAAGGAGATCTCGGCGGAAAAGTTGAGACCGATTCCTGAAGTGTCTGTAAGTGGCTTCGCTCTGGTTTGCGTAGACGGGCGGCACGTCCTGCTGTGTTCTGTTCTGTCCCACTTCGTACACGTTTTCAGCAGGACCTATTTTTCATCATTTGGGTGATCAGCAATGTATTTGCCTTCCTATTCAGATGTGTTTCAGCTCAGTAGCAGCAGCTGTTAAAGAGTATATTGCACATCCCAGTGATAATAGAATGCCTCACGTTTTTAATGAGAAAGATAATTATAATATTTTTTTTATTTCCCAGTTACTTCTCATAATTTTAGTTATCACTGCCTGCAAATTATAAATGAAGATCTTACTTTTGAGCCAAAGACTTGCCAGTGAAATTGACAGATTTTCAATAGCAATATACATTAGGGGCCATAAAAACATCATTATTCTATTCACTTTCTGGTCTCTTTGCAGCAGTTTCCCAAATAATAAATGGTATGCGTGAAGGTTAACAGTAAAGTAGTGTCATTGAATAAATCCCTAGGCTAGTTTGGTGGCTATATTCATGTCCATCAGATTGATTTTCCTCCTTCCTGTGTTAATACTTCTCTTCCTTCAGTTCCTCCATAGCTGCACTTAGAAACCAGAGAACAAATGAACTTATATTCCATTTTTTTAACACATTAAAGGTTTTCTGTATTTGTCATGTCCTAAGTATTCTGTACGTGTTACACTGTAAAGCTTTGGTTCAATTAGATTGGAAGGATTGTTCCCTCACACAAGTCACAGACATATACATCATCATTAACAGAATAGCTAATATATCTTAAACCCTTGCCATGTGCCAGTCACTCTGCCAAGCCTTTTTTCCATGAAGAATTTCATTTAATCCTCATAGTGACCCTGAGAGGTAGAGCCCTTCATCCTTATTTTTTTAGATGAGGAGACTGAGGTTCAGCGTGGTAATGCAGGGAGTTCAAGGATGACAGCTGGTTAGTTGAAGAGTTAGAACTTGAAGCTAGAGTGTCTGAGTCCAGAACTGCTGCCTGGGTCCACCGCACTGGGCTGCATAAACATGTACTGACTCTCATGTAAATGGTGGCCCTCTCCTCAAGAAAGACCCAGATAAAACTGGAATGTGCGTTCTTATTTCTCATGTTTGCATGCATGTGTGTATGCGTGCCCACAGGAACTTAGTGAATCACCTAACAATGAAAATGGATTTGTTTTATGGTGATTTAGGATGAAAGTGGTCAGTAATATTTTTGCATGTTTTTCTTTTTTTCTTAACCATTTCTAAAACAAAAGTTCTACCTAACTGTATTTTTTTTCCTTTGGTGTGCTCACAAGTAGAATGCAGCTAATAAACTAACCTTCCAGATTTATTTTATGACGCTGCTTCCCTTAACTGCAGCCAAAACTGGGCTGCCAAAAACGGAGCCATAGCAAGTCTCTAAGAAGCCTTCCACTCCGTTCTCCCCTAATTTTTTTGCCACCACCCTTCTATTAGGTAAAATCTCTCATCGTAATATATCCAAAAGATTGCTTATTTTTAATCTTTCCATCTTTCTGTAGAAATAAAACCAGAGCATGAAAATCAGCTCGGAAACTTGAGGCACAAATGGACTTTGAGTACCTGGCCACTTGGCCAAGTACACTGCCTGAAAAGTAGGGGAAAATGAAAGGTGGGAGAGAGAGCAGGGGACTTTCCCTTACCCATCCTCTTCATTTGAGAGGCTCTGGGGATAAGCCAGTTCACAGAGACTATTTGGGTTGCTCCAGGAGACCCTTCTCACAGCTGCTCGCTGCCCATTACAAAGCCCTCACCCGACTCCTGTGCCTTTACCAGGCGCCCCCTGTGTGGCATCTGCCATTTTTACTATTCTATTTTACAGCTAAGGAGAATGACAGAGCAATCCCCTCAGAAGGATGGAAGAGGGAAGGAGCTTTATCTGTGTTGAGGGGATAAAGGCACAAAGGCACTGTTTACCATTTGTGTAGAGAGATTTGACTTCAGTGTCAAAATTCAGGCTAAGAAAATGTGATCTCTAACAACCCACATGATCGCTTCAATCTGAATGTGATAACCTCAATTTAATAGGACGTAAAATTATGGAAGGCATCGGCACTCTGCCCCATACCCTGGTGAATTTACAGTGGGAATGGAGGGTTCTTCCAGAAACACCATTTACAAAAGAAATTCATGGTCATAGTGAAAGGGTGCTAATACTTGACATTCTCTCCATTTAATAACTACAGCTAAGAATCTGAAACAAGTTTCCTCAAAAGAGTGCTGTGTGCTTGCTAACTCCACAAAGGGATTTTTTCCCCCAGATCCCAGAAACCCATGGCGGTGACTTTTAATAATTTACTAATATTTAATTCACACAATATAGAATTCAGCCTTTTTTAGTACACCCATGGAGGTGTGTAACTATCACTACTCATCTTAGATCATTTTTATCACCCCAAAAGAAATTCTATCCCCATTAATGGTCATTCCTCATTCATTGCTTCCCCCAAACTCCCAGAAGCCACTAATCTGCTTTCTGTCTCTATGGATTTGCCTATCCTAGACAGTTGATATAAATGAAATCAGACAGTATGTGGCCTTTTGTGTCTCATTTCTTTCATTTAGCATAACGTTTTCAAGTTCCATCCATGTTGTAGCATTTCATTTCTTTTTATGCCTGAATAGTCATCCATTATATGGATATGCCATATTTGTTTATTCATCTATCAGTTGATAGTTGGTTGTTTCCACTTTTGGGCTATTATGAAAGATGGTGCTATGAACATTCCTAGGCACGTTTTTGTGTGGACATATGTTTTCATGCCTCTTGTGTATATATACCTAGGAGTGGAATTGTTGGGTCATATGGAACTTGATATTTAACTTTTGAGGAACTGCCAAACTGTTTTCCAAAGCAGCTGCACCATATTACATTCCCACGGGCAAGGCACGTTGAGGGGGTTTCTCCACATCTTAGTCAACACTTGTTATTGTCTGTCTTTTTCGTTTAAACCATCCTAGTGCGTGTGAAGTGGCATCTCATTGTAGTTTCGGTTTGCATTTCCCTAATGACTAAAGATGTTGAGCATCTTTCCATACCCTTATTAGCCCATCTGCCTATCTCCTTCGGAGAACTGCCTATTCAAATCTTTGGCCTATTATTTTCATTGGATTATTTGTCTTTTTATTGTCTGGTTGTGTTTGGATACAAGTTCCTTGTCAGATACATGATATGCAAATATATTCTCCCATTCTGTAAATTGTCTTTTCATTTCTTGGGGCTATCTTTTGAAGCATGGAAGTTTTTCATTTTGTGAAGTCCAATCTATCTATGGTTTTCTTCTGTTGCTTATGCTTTTGGTGTCATAGCTAAGAGCCATTGCCTAATCCAAGGTCACAGAGATTTATTCCTGTTTTCTTCTAAGAATTTTATAGTTTAACTCTTAAATTTTGTCCTATAATCCATTTCTAGCTAATTTCTGTCTCTAGTGGGAAGTAGGGGTTCAACTGCATTTTGTTTGCATGTGGGTATTCACTTGCGCTGGCACTACTGGTTGAAAGACGATTTTTTCCCAATGAATTATCTTGTCACCTTCTTTGGAAATCAGTTGACCATACATGTAAAAGTTTATTTCTGACTTCCCAGTTCTGTTCTATCTATAGGTCTATCCTTATGCAGTATCACACTGTCTTGATTACTATAGTTTTGTAGTAGGCTTTGAAATCAGGTAGTGTGACTCCTTCAACTTTGTTCATCCTTTTCTGGATTGTTTTTGCATATCCATAGGAATTTGAGGACCAACTTGTCAGTTTCTGCAAAAAGGGCAACTGAGATTGCATTACATCTATAAAATAATTTGGGGGACATATCTTAACATCTTAACAATATTAAGCCTTCCAATCCATGGATATCTTTCCATTTATTTGTGTCTTTAATTTCTTTTGGCAGTGTTTTATGATTTTCAGCATACAAGTCTTGCACTTCTTTTGTTAAAGTTATTCCTAAGTTTATTTTTTGATGCTATTGTGAATAGAATTGTTCTTAATTTTATTTTTTATTTGTTCATTTCTAGTGTTCATAGAAATGCAATTTATTTTTATATTGATTTTATATCTTGCAACCTTGTTAAATATTAATTAGCTCTAATAGTGTTTTTGTGAATTCCTTAAGATTTTCTATATACAAAATCATGTCATTTCAAATAGAGATAGTTCTACTTCCTTTCCAATCTGGGTGTCTTTATTTCTTTTTCTTGCCTAATTGCCCCCGCAAATGGATTTCATTTGAATGAAAAAGTTTTCTTTCTTTCAAGATATTTAAGATTTAATACTTCAACGGCTGTGGCCCAGTAGTGAATTCTAACACAGACATGATGAGCTCAGTTAGGCGTGGAAGGATTCTATTGGTATGATGCATGGGAAAGGTACTAGATGCAAGAGGAAAATTTGACAATTATCCTAGGATTGGAAGTCCATCTAATATTATATGAACACAAGTATGAAATTACCTCTGCTGGCTAACATTATGGTCCACATATGTAGAGCAATGACATGTATGGGGGTTTCTACCACCTAAGCTGGATTTCTAAAGTAAAGGACTTCTAGGGGCGCCTGCATGGCTCAGTCAGTTAAGCATCTGACTCAATTTTGGCCCAGGTTGTGATCTCAGGGTTGTAAGATGGAGCCCTGTGTTGGGCTCCATGCTAGGCGTGGAGCCTGCTTAACATTCTCTCTCTGTCTCTCTCTGCTTGTCCCCCCACTTTCCCCTCTCTAAAAAAATTTAATTAATTAATTAAAATAAAATAAAAAAGGACTTCTAGGTGATGAGTTATGGCTGTTCTGGTTCTACTTCTGGATTATGACAGCATCTTCTCTTGTGCTGAGCACCTGTCAGGCCAGATGTTCCCCCGGGTGCTAGAGATACATCAACCAAAACAGATGAGGCCTGTTAGGGGCTTATATCTGTTAGGAAATACAGACAATAAAGATGTACAAGCAAACACTATAAAGTAATGATAAGGGTGTGGGAAGACAAACACACGGA